TCCAGCCATTCTGTATAGCATTTCGTAAGCAGATGCTTGGAGAGACCAGGATGCAACTTCAACATATACAACCCGGTTATGAAATATAAGTGCAGATGCCTTGCAACAGTGATAGCCAAAGTCCTTAGGGCAAGAAGTGCCTCTCAAAAATCTTGGTATGGTCCCATGGTGGAAGTTGGCACATCATACCATTGCTTGCATTTCCTTTCTGACCAGCTTCCATCTTATTTTAGGAACATTCTAGGAATACCATATCCAGAAGGCCTTCTAGCTCCGCATTATCTGAGTGCAATTTGTGGCTAGATCATGTGGGTGAAATGGAGGATAAGGAGCAATGTCTTTAACAGTGCTTCCTGTTAAAGATTAGATTATTTTAGTCCTACTAAATTCTTGGCGTCTGTACTTGTTGTAGCATTGCGTTCTAAAAGTATTGGTCATATCCAGAAGTTTATCAGCAACAATAATGAGTCAGGTTAGACTATGCCTGAGCCCTTTGAAATGAACAATTACTGAGGTATACACTGATAAACATTATCATTCAATAGCTTTTTTTTTTTTAGAATGAGTCAAATTTAGGTTGCTGGCAAATATAGTATGATTATTCCTGAGAGTTAGTCATTCTTCTTTTCTTCTAGAGAGCACGAGTGGTTCAAAGAAGATCTGCCCAGTTACTTGTTTCCAGAGGATCCATCTTATGATGCCAACATCATTGATGATGATGCGGTGCGGGAAGTTTGTGAGAAATTTGAATGCCAGGAGTCAGAGGTGATGAGCAGCTTATACAGTGGAGATCCGCAGGACCAACTTGCAGTGGCGTATCACCTGATTATTGACAATCGGAGAATCATGAACCAAGCTAGTGAATTCTACCTCGCTTCCAGCCCTCCCACAGGCTCTTTTATGGATGATAGTATGCACATCCCTCCAGGGGTGAAGCCCCACCCAGAGAGGATGCCTCCTCTTGTAGCAGATAGTCCCAAAGCCAAATGTCCCTTGGATGCACTGAATACCACCAAGCCAAAACCATTGACTGTGAAAAAGGCCAAGTGGCATTTAGGAATACGCAGTCAAAGCAGGCCTTTTGACATCATGGCCGAAGTCTACCGTGCTATGAAACAGCTAGATTTTGAATGGAAGGTAAGGAATATCAGAGCATGGGAGATATTTCATATTTTCCTGGTATTAGTTGATTGGTTTTATTTATGTGTTTATTTCTGTAATGCGTGCCAGTGAACATATGCCCAGTGGTGGTTTGTATCTATCCACCCTGCCCAAAACTTTCACAGAATTAAAACAGGGTAAACCTAGCATTGGATAAACCTAGCAAGGTCATGGTACAAACCTTGGGAAAACCAAGAGGTCTTTATTTGGTGCCCAAAAGATAGCAAAATAGAAAACCAGTGTTGGAGTGGGACCCAGGAAGTTCTAGTCCCCATGTGGCCATGAAGCTCTGTGGGTGACTTTGGGCCAATCATTGCATCTCAGCCTAACTCTCCAAACAGGGTTGTTTTAGCATAAAATGGAGAAGAGGGGACCATGTAATGTACTCTGGGTTCTTTGCAAGAGAGCAGCAGGGCAGGACGGCAGGGCAGGGGCAGAGTGAGAGAAAGAGAGGATATAAATGAAAATAAATAAGGGTTTCAGCAGCATCTTTGTAGGACAAGGTGTACGGGATGCCCTGTAAGTGAAAAGGCCTCATCTGCAGCTGCTGCCCCGTTTCTGAAGGGGCATTTGGAAGTGGGCATCTAATGACAACCAAGTCAGAGTGTGGCACTCATTCAGGTAACCTGGCCCCATGTTTTTTAGAGCAAGGGACAGCAAGCCGGGCACCAGTACTCTCCCAGACACCTTTCTTGGTTCCTGCCAAGATACTGCACCCAAGCATTTTTCTCCAGAAACACACAGTTCTTACCAGCAGCTGGGATTGCTGTGACCAAGGTTTGTTTTGGTTCAGAGGAGTTGCTTGGTACATTGGACCTCATCCTTTTCACGGGGTACTTGTTCTTTTGCTGCACCTGCCATGGCTGCCATTTATGGTGGTGCCCAAGAGTTTCTCAAATTGCCAAAATGAGAAGTGTGTGAGAGAGGGAGGGAGCAGGGAGAGAGAGAGAGAGAGAGAAATAAGAGTTATAGCACCGGAGGAGGCCATCTAAGCCATTGAGTCCAAACCCCATCAATGCAGGAATCCCATTTAAAGCATCCCTGCCAGTTGGCTCTCCAGATGGCTGCCTAGCCTTGGTTTCAAGCTTGGTGCAGAGCTTTCCCCAAGCTGGCACCATGTCTATCTGTTGGACTGCCACTTCTGTCCTGTTCAGCCAACTGGATCAGCATGGCCATGCAGACTGGGCATGATGGGATTTGCTGCTCAGCGCATCTAAACTGTGCCGGGATGGAAAGCACTGTGTCTAGTAAGGACGCCAGCAGCATTAACAGCATCTGATTGTAATGATCATTAGGTAATTGCTTTCAGTGTGCGCTCTGAGAATGTTAGCTGTGATTAAATACTGCCTATTTTTAATTACTGACCTATGCAGACATTTTCTTTTTTTAATCTAGCTAAGGTTGAAGATGAGGGGAATTTTGCCTTGCACAGCTGGTGGGATAAGAGGGAGCTCTTCAGATTTCTAATTTTAGTTGCTAATTCCCTTCTAGATAACTAATCTTCCTGAAAGCCCCTAAGAAAACACACTTGCCTATTATTTGTGCATGGTTTCAAAGAATCATGTGGCCGTGCAATATTCCTCTCTTAGATCTGGCTTGGGTGACATGGTTCTTTCTGGCTGGTTTGCATAGTTATTGAACAGACTGAGGCTGCACTCCTGTACAAACTTTCCTGAGAATAAGTCTTATTAAACTCAGTGGGACTCACTTCTGAGATGATATTTATAGGATTGCCACACCTGATGGCATTCATAGTGCTGGTCATTTATTAACATGTTTGAGGTGAGCTTGACTCAGCCTAAAAAGTTTTACTGGCAAGTTCTTCTGTTCCCCTCCCCTCTTCAAGAGCTAGCTGTTCATGGTCAAGATTCTTCTGATTCTATTTGGAAGTTCTCAATATGAAATGGAAAGCTATCTCCTCTACTTCCTTCATTATTGGCATGTTCCATGTTTATTAGATCTGTTTAATAAAAACAAGTCAGCACATCCAGGGATATGACTCAGGTTTGCTTCATGGTAGGACATCTGCCAGTCGTTCTCATGCTGTGAAGAATTTATGCCAACTTCTGCTTGCCTGTTGGACAGTGGTCTCCCAGGAGAGTGGGAGTAACTTGGCACTTCCATGGCACATCAGGAATAGGCATAAAGACACAAGACATAAGACCAAGGCCTCAGCTGTGTGTTGCCTGGGATGTCTGTGTTCTCTCCCCTCAGCACTGTCAGTAATTTGGGGGAATATTTATAAAGGGCAACCTGCTGTTTGCACAGTTTCTGCCACCCCCACAACCAGAGTGCGGGCAGGACTTGGACTAGCAGATATGGCTCTCTCCCCATCACATGATTGCCATCACACCTGAACAAGGCTAGTAGTTTTCTTCATTCCTTTTGGTTTGTGCTGCTCTTTTCCCCTCCTACAGGATATTTATTTAATATTGTGTATAGGCAAGTGCCAATTAATATTTTACAGTGTTATGTACCATTTGGCTTTTTTGAAAGCTAGGTCTACTGTACTGATGGCCAATGAATATTTTGGTATAGGCTTTCCAAAAATTTCATATGGATTGGCAAAACATGAAAGGTTATTTTCTAAATGAGCATTCCATAATATTTGGGTGATTCTGCCAACTGAGCAGTAGTATTGGCTCATCACAGAAGAGGTTCTAAGTGCTCTCTGGTTGTGCTAGACTGAAAATATGTATTAGCATGTTATAAGTACAATAAATTGTTGATGGAAAGAGTTTTAAAGAGAGTAAATCAACTGTCTATTTTAAAAAGGTCTACTGCAGTTCTATGGGACTTACTTCCAGGTCAGTGTGCATAGGATTGTAGGCTTGTGCTGCACTTATAAACACAAGTAAATGTTTCTCTGGGAGCAAGCCCCACTTAATGAAATGGGGTTTGCTTTTGAGGAGATAAGCATAAGTTTGCACTGCGCATCTTTTTAAAGCAAAATTGTTTTCTTGAAATATGACTTCACAAAACAAATTAAAAATAATGTTTCTTCTGTGCCGTAATTTCATTTTCCCTAAAAAATAATTATTTATTTTAGGTGGTGAATGCCTACCATCTCAGAGTTCGTAGAAAGAATCCGGTGACAGGAAATTATGTGAAAATGAGTTTACAGCTGTATCAGGTTGACAATCGTAGCTATTTGCTGGACTTCAAAAGCATTGATGGTAAGCAGAAGATGTGGAATAAAATCTGTGAAGGAGGATTTGTTTTAAAGAGAACGCATACAGCAATGCCATTCTTTTTTCCCCTTCCACACATTTTACTTTTAATTTACTTTGTGAGTCCTGCTAGCCAGTATCCTGGCAATACACTTTTGAACACAATGCTATAAACATCTGCTCAGAAGTTCCATGCCTTTGCTCCCAGGAAAGTGAGTATAGGATTGCATTGTTTATCATCATTACAGCTAACTGTGTCAGTTTAAGGGGTTCTTCCCAGAACTTGCACCCTTTGTATTTTCATTCAGCATAGCTAATAGATGTGCTGGGAATTTGTCCTGCCACATCAGGCATCAAGATGGCACCAGGCTGATTTAGTGGCACTTCGGCAGTTAAAAGTCTTTTCTAGCTGAGTGTACAATAATCCCTAAACAGATATTGTGGATTGTTGTGAACCTTTTCTGATCATGGACCATTCTAGAGCTCCTAAGAACAAACATTTTCAGTGGTAAATTTCCTCCCTGTCCTCAGAGAGTTATTATTTCTATTGTTATTACTAGTTTAAGCAGTTATTTTAGTGGTGGTTCCATTGTCCTTATTCCTGAAAATCACAACAGCTGTTTATTTTGTTTTTTACTATCCCTCGATTCCCACTGCTTTCCTTCCTTCCTTCCTTCCTTCCTTCCTTCCTTCCTTCCTTCCTTCATAGAAGGGCTTAGTTCTATGCATGTTTAGACAGAAAAAAAATATTATAATTCATCTCCATTGGCTGAGGGATGCTGGGAGTTGCACTTTTTTTAATGTGTAAACATACATAGCACTGGTTCCTACACCTTGGAAGGTTGGAGGAATATCTGAAAGCCAGGGCCATGGATGGGAGCCAGTGCTTGCATGGGTAGGACCTGCTCTAGGGCTTCTTCCCAGGAACTTCTGAGATTGCTGAAGAGATGTGGGCAGCAGACTTCCACGCTGCAGAGGGAAGGGGTCCTAAAAGTCAAAATCCACCTCAGTGCTTGCTGCAGTTTCTGAGAAAAGGACAGAAAAAGCAATGGAAGTTGATCTTCATACCATTCCAGTCAGACACTGTACCTGTATTTCCGGTTGTTGCTTTTCAGATGATGTCACAGAGCAAAGATCCGGCTCTTCCACCCCACAGCGCTCCTGCTCTGCTGCACACCTGCACCGACCAAGACTCAGCTTAGATTCCAGCACTGTGGATTGCCAGTTACTCCCTGCCTCTGTCATTGGTCCCTTGACTGGGAGCACCAGCTCCGTTATGCCACGTCTCGGTAGCCACACAATGGATTTCTTTGAAATGTGTGCCAGTCTCATCATGGCTCTTGCTCGCTGACAGGTACTGTGAAGAAGTTTGATTTCTTTGGACAGGTGCAGGCCTTTATGAGCTCTGCACAGAAATATCTGTGCAGCAAGGCAAGCCTAATTCTGAAAGTAGAAATATCAAATTCCGCACCCAGAATATATTCAGTATTTTAAGGTAAGGAGGCAAATGTACTCACTTGATGTAATTCTAGTGGCAGAATTTGATTTATTTTTGCAATGAATTTGAATAGTCGTGTTAGGTCATGTTAGTATGGCAGAAGCGATGGAGCAGTGGAGGCAGTGGTAGACAGAAGCAAGGAGGACGGTCATCCTGTCCGCAGCCAGTTGCTGCCAGGGCTTGTAGAGTGGCATTGTGGAGTTCTGCTCTGCAGAAAACACAGCAGCTGCCAAAGTCTGCAAACGCCTGTAGTGGCAGAATCCACGGTATGTCTGCCTTCATGAACCTAACAGTGCAATACTCTCCTGAAGACTTGATGATTCCTTCAAAGGATTCAGAAAACTGATTTCCGAAAACTAAGACAATATGGTACTGGTAGGGTTGATTTCCACTTTACGTGCATGGAAGAAATGCTCACATTTGCTGTTTTTCTGTACACTGTAACATGCAAGGTCACCCTTAGACAAGGAACATAGCTTGTTAAGAGGTGTCGTTTGTGAAGGTTTAATGCCCTGGTAATCTAATCATTACAGGTTTAGCTTCAATCATCTCAAATTAGAGATGACCACAATGCAACTTTTCTTTTGTGGGAGCACTACTGGAACGCTCAGGAGAAAACACAAATCTTGCATCCTACTCATCGGTTTGTATGAATAGACTGTTGTAACCTGCGGGTATATTCCTCCATCCCAACATGCACCACCCGCCACACCACCCAATTAGGCCCCAAGGGCAGGCCCTCATCATTTTCAGCAGACAGTGCTGACTGTTATCATTACCTGCCGCAAGCTCGACTAATTCTAAGGCAGTCCTTTTCAATTGTCACGTTGTGGCAAAATTCGAGAAAGTAACAACTTTGCTGGTGACAACAAGTGCAGAACAATGCATATATATACCTACTTGTCTAAACTTTGACCAGGCCTTTTGCTAACAAGCCTTTCTTGAGTTCTGCACACTTGTAAGAGCATTTTGGCTGATGTTGGAGTATGTAGCATGCCTGCCTCTTGCCCCACCGAAGAGTGCAAGATCCTCAAAGGTGGGGCAGAATGAAATGGCTCTATTGATAAGTAGAATGAAATGAGGCTGCAATACGCAGACACCATCCTGATGTCACCGTGATTCCACTTCCAGAGACATAGATGCTTGTGAGATTTACAGGAGGACACTTTCCGGTCCCCCTCACAATACCGCCCAATCACAGCTTGTGCACGCCTTGCATGGAGTAGGCCTACTCTACCTCCTCAGGCAGTGGCACATGTGTGTGTGTGTCCTGCTCTTCCCTCCAGCCCCTGCCACAAGCTGGCAGCAACTAGAAATCAGAGATCACTTGAATGCTAAACTAGCCTTTTGTGAAGCGGTGATGGTAGTTTTGCAGGGTAACCAGTTCATTTTGCAAACCATGTCATGGCAGCATTTCACTGGTTTAATTAAAGGGTTGCATTAGGGATTTCTGTTCTCCCCAAAGGACTTCTTTTCACTGTGGCTTTTCACATCCACTTTGTGCTCACTGCTATTCATTGTCTTGGTCTTGTTAAGCTGAGACCACCCGCTATAGGTCACCAGCAATATTTGCAGGCTGCTCTTAATCACATTATTAGGCCTCCATCAATCATCCCAGGCCATGACTTGTACCAAATACATCAAAGTGCAAGGCCTGCATATGTAAATGAAGGATGATGATGAACTCCATGGCAGCTGTAGAACAGAACAAGATTGCTTTTAAGCCACCTGTGTAAAATTCATAACTGGGGGATGGGAATAAAAATTATGCTTTCCTCTAGGAATGAGCTTCTTTGATAACAGTGGTGATGGGGGTTCAGGGAGAGCTCGTAACTGTACAAAGTAAGATGATTGCAGGGAAGCCAAGTATTTAGATCTATGCTAGGGAAGAGGTTAATGGAATTAAGAAAACTAAAGGAACAATCCAGTGAAAAGAACTGACTGCTTGGGGGCCGGGGGGGGGGGATTTGTAAGAAGGAAATTAAGTTCAGCATGGCTAGCATAAGTCCTATGTGTTTCAGTGGGTATATGTTGGATTATTATACATTGGATATTCCTCAGAGGTCTCTTCCTGCAGGACTGAGTCCATTTTATTCCTACTGTGTTTTCCATTCTCTATGCCACACCTATCTGGTTTTAACTCCAGGGTTTCTTCTGGTAGTCAGACACCTGGATCTGACAACCTGGCTCTGCTCTTTCTTGGTAAATTTATGAGTTGCCTTGTGATGCAGAGAGGACCCCCAGGGGAACGTAAAGTTAAGCCTCACAAGATTTAATCTAAACAACAATGATACTTACTTTAAAACCATTTGAAATTTACTAAATGTTTTTTTAAAACATCACCAGCACAATCCATTGAGAGAAGAGAGAACATTAAAAAACAGTGTGGAGTTGAGCAACTTAAAATATTGTAAAGCCATACAGGACAAAATGGATTTAGTAATCTGCCTGAAACTGAGCAGAAAAAGGCCAGCGTAGGTTCCTCTGGAAGAGAGTTCCACAGGCAGCAGTCCTTGGTGTTTCTAACAACATTCTGCTTCAGGCACACTTGCTCTGGGCAAGCAAAAGCAAATTCCTCTGCATTTTGATCCATTTTCAATGCAATCCTATATACTTCTACTCAGAAGTAAGGCCCAAGGGGAAATAAGTCGGTACAGAACTGCATTCTGAAAGGTTTCATCTGTACCCTTAAAAAAAAAAAAGAAAGCATATTGATTTGATTTTCATTATAGTTTTTTGAAAGCTCTCAGAATAGGAAAGAGCTTTGTGTTTGCCACAGGGCCCCCCGCTGATTGACCTTCCATCTGACGGCTAGCTGGGGAAGGGAATTGGAGGCGGCTTTGTGTAAAATCCAGGCACTCAGCACTTCCCATGGCTGGCTCCTCCTGAGCCCTGTTCCAGCGAAATGCCTGAATTGGGTGCAGAAATGCATGCCAGGCGGGAGGCTTCTGCTTAAGTCAAGCTGAGTGTCTGTCAAACCTTTGGCATACTCAGAAGGACTGACAGGGTAGTGCTTCCAGCCATGTGGGGGCTGTGTTCAAGTGGCAGCAAGCAGAAATCTGCTGAAGACCTTCCCACTTAACACAGTAAGAGTGTTGGAGGCATGGCTGGTGCGCATGGCCCTGTGCCTCGCACAGGTGTGAGTGAACCCAGTTCACGTCCAGATGCCCAAATAAGGCTTTGGCCCCGGGAAGAACCAGTTGTTCCTGAACTTTATTCACCTTTAAAATATATTCTTCTATTTTAATTACTGGTGGGCTCACCCTGCAAAATATATACAGTTTTTTAGGTCATATTATTGGAATAAGTAAGAATTGAAAGGTTCAGTTAAGAGACAGGAATTTCCCAGTTAGTCCCTATTATCTCTTCAGTTGCATCATCAAGCTCTGTCACTCTTTGCCCTTTTTGCCTGTGATAACCAAGACCTTGCAAGAGCTGCGTAAATGCAAAATGCATCTTTTTGCTTTTACATCTCACTCTCCATGACCTTTTCTGCTGTTCACTTCTCTGTTACATCATGGACATGCTGGCTTTAGTTTCCTTTATTCCCAAAGATCCAGAAATATTTTGTTGCATCCAAACTGCTCTTGTATAGAGAGGTACTAAGGCCAATCCTATATTTTTAATGTTTTCTAACAGTTCAAGGAGCATTTTTCAATAAAGAAGTAGTGGATACTGACTCTAGAACTGTCTGATTGTCATCTCAGGATGTTATTTCTTCATATATAGCATAGAAGTATCCAGAACTGGTAAAGATAACATCACAGAATTTCAGGAAGCCCGCAGTATAAGGCAAAGTAAGACACCCGCAAAACAAGACATGCTGCTAATCTTACGTGACCGGAATGCAAAAGTAGGGAACAATGCAGTATCAAATGTTGTAGGAAACATTTGGGAAATGTTGACCTAGATGTAAGAAATGGAGCAGGAGAATGACTTGTAGGATTTTGGGGTCCCAACAATGTGTTCTTTGTAAATACATACTTCAAGGAACCACTTGGATGATGGTATTCATGCACTTCACCAGATCGCCAGTACAGAAATCAAACAGATTATGTAATTGGAAGCAAAGGTTTTGAAACTATTCTTGCTGCCAAAAAAAAAAAAAAACTGTGCTAGTGACCATCAGCTTTTAATTTCAAAAATCAGAATCAAGCTTAAAAAAGATCGCAAGAAGCACAGAAAGATTAAAAGAAACACAGTGCCAACATTTAACTTGAGTAAGCTCAAATATTTGGCCACCTAATGAGGAGAAAGGACCCATTGGAAAAGACCTTAATGTTGGGAACAATTGAAGGCAAAAGGAGAAGGGGATGGCAGAGATTGAGGTGGCTGAAAGGGGTCACTGGAGAGGTGGATGTGAGCTTGGGAGTACTCTGGAGGATGGTGGAGTAGAGGAAAACCTGAAGGAATGTTGTCCATGGGGTCGCAGAAAGTCAGGTATGACTTTGTGGCTGAACAACAGTAACAACATCCCTGAAAAAAGTAAAGTCCACATAAAGAACAGATTTGTGTTGTTTAATTTAATTGACTATAAGCTAGAAGAACTGTGGACTGTAACCTGAAATGTTATTAGGTAGGAACATCAAAAAACAATGCCTGAAGTAACAAGAAAGAAAAAGCCTATATGAATGACAGAAGAAGCACATTTGAAAAGGAGAAGCAGGAAGCAAAATGTGGCAGAAATATGGCCAGAATCCTGAATGCAACTTTTCAGCAACTATCATGTAAAACAAAAAGAACTATTACAATGATCATTTCAAAGAAACAGAAGAGAATAACAAATCTTATGAAGAAGAGCCTGCAATATTAGATAGCAAAGTGAAAGTTGCCCTGAAAGCACTTGCAAAGAATAAAGCACCTGAAGTAGATAGGATACCAATAGAACTATTCCAAGCTGCCAGTAATGAATCAATCCAAATCCTAACAAAACTATGTCAAGAAATACAGAAAACTAAACAATGTTCCCACAGAGTGGAAATGCTCGATAAATATTCCATTTCCCAAGAAAGGAGATGCAAAAGAGTGCAGCAACCTTAGGACCAATGCATGAATGTCCTAGTCAGGCTGGATGTCCAAACTGGATACCGAAAAGGAAGAAATGCTAGAAATTATATTGCAAATATATTGGACCACACCAAAGAATTTCAGAAAAAGATCAGTCTGTACTTTATAGACTTCAGCAAATCCTTTTACTATGTGGATCATGAGGTGCTACGGATGGTTCTGAAAGAAATGGATGTGCCTCGGCACTTGATTGGCCTGATGTGTTATCTGTATTGCAGACAAGCAGCTACTTTGAGGACAGAATATGGAGAAACAGAATAGCTTGCCATAGGTAAAGGGTTAGATAAGGCTGTATTTATTGCCCTATCTCATCAATATGTATGAAGAAAGTATCAGAAGTAAGACTAGATTAGAATCAGAGGTAGGAGTGAAAATTGGCAGAAGAAACATCACTAATTTAGGTTACACAGATGATACCATACCATTAAGAATACAAAAATCATGTCCACAGAAGAATTACAGAAGTTTATTGTTAATAATGAAGAAATAAAATGGTGAAACATTTCACATACCTCAGCTCAGTCATGAATTCAAAGGGAGACTACAGTCAAGTAATTCAAAAGAGGACTGAGACTTTGAAGGGCAGCAGTAAAGGAACTTGAAAGCATAATTAGATGTACGGATGTTTTTCTGGAAAACCCAGGTCAAGATTATCCAACCTAATATATTCTCAATCACAATGCATGGGTGTGAAAGCTGGACAGCGAAGAAAGCTGATAGGAAGAAAATTGATGCCTACAACACATGGTGCTGGAGGAGAGCTTTGTGAATACCCTGGACCAAACAAAAACAAACAATTGGGTCTTAGGTCAAATCAAAGCAGGGCTTTCCTAGAAGCAAAAATGACAAAACTGAGGCTGTCATACCTTGGACACATCATGAGAAGGCAAGACTCACTAAAGAAGACAATTGTGTTAGGGAAAATTGAAGGCATAATAATTATTTATAATTTCTATACAGCCTGTAGCTGAAGCTCTGTGGGTGGTTTACAACAAAGACAAGAGGGAAGATTAATTATGAGAAAGATTTAATCCATAAAAAAAGCCAATAGGACATTTTGGAGGGCTTTCATTCATAGGATTGCCATAAGTCAGAGATGACTGCACATAAAATGCACATAAGACCACCTCTCTAACTCCCTGGCACTAACATATTTTAACAGGGTTTTTTTTTTAATGTGTTCACCGCAACTGCAGAAATGCAATTACACAAAACGGTTTGTTTGATAGCTAATGATGACCTTTTTGGTGCTCTGTAGTGGTTATGCAGTGACTGCAGGTAGCGCAGTGGTTTAAACCTTTGTGCTGCTGGGCTGGTAGATCTAAAGGTCACCAGTTCGAATCTGCACAACGGGGTGAGTTCCCGTTGCTCCGTCCCAGCTCCTGCCAACCTTGCAGTTCGAAAGCATGCAAATGCAAGTAGACAAAAAGGTACCACTTTGGTGGGCAGGTAACAGCATTCCGTGCACTTCTGTGTTCAGTCATGCCAGCCACATGACCCCGGAGACTGTCTGCGGACAAACGCTGGCTCCCTTGGCCAGGAAACGGAGATGAGCACCGCCCCCTAGAGTCAGACATGACTGGACTTAACGTCAAGGGGAAACCTTTACCTTTAGTGGTTATGCAGCACTAACAGTCAAACAATCAGAATTCATTACACACAAGCTGAGTTTTACCCTTTGGCTCTTCATAGCTGCCATGGGTACTAGCTATTAAACAAATAAAAATTAAAAAAATGAATTTGGATAGATTTGAGGACTGTAGGAGTGAATGTTGCACTGAAGGACTGCATGCATTCTGTTAGCTGTAAGTTGCCTACCTTTGCCCTGCGCCATGGGAAGTTCAAGGTCACCTTCTCCAAACTGAATAATAAATTCTAATACAGAGGAGGGTGTGCATGGCAGAGTTGATACTGATATATTAAAAGGGCAGTCCTGGAAGAATCATGTGCATTTCCTGTGTGGTACCAACCAAGGCCATTGAAATGTAAAGATTCGATGAGCACTTTGCATGACCTTGTAACTAAAGCTCATGCCACTTCCCCCTCCAACAGGATAGCAGCAAAATTTACCTTTTTCATGTAAGAACAGATAGCATTCTCTTCCGTGGTACTGTTCATGAGAGCTGGAATGCAAATTCGATAATATTGTTCCAGACCTTAGGGTATTCAGGTACTTCCCAGGCTTAATTGCCTGTGACCTTCACTAGAATTCTGATAAAAGAGGAATAGCTTATGCTTTATTGTTCCTTTTCTACCTTTCAGGTTTACTAAATTTGTAGTAAGAAATATGCTATTCTTTTTAAAATAGTCAAATTCTTGCTTTTCATAAGTGATATTGCAGCTTGTGTGGATATTGTACTCAGTTTTAGAAGAGTTAATTAAGACTTTGATCTAATAAGAATTATCTGGTTTTGTTGAATGTTATAATGGGCTTAACACTCCAATCTCTAAGACAATGTGTTTTAAATTATAACAAAGGAAAATGTTCCTTTAAAGAAAGGGGGCGGGGGAGAACACTTAGCACAGCCTTGGTCAGAAGACTGCCAAGTTATTGTAAAAACAATGCATTTATTATGAAACCAGTTCAGCCAAAGTGAGCACATTGCACCTCAGGCCCATGGGCCAAATCTGTTCTGCCCATGAGCCATATTCACTGTTTGGGGATCCCTAGGCAGCCATGCTTCCCTCCCTCCATCCCCAAAGTGTTTTGGCTCCACCTCCTTTGTCTTTGGCCCCACCTACCACTGGAATTTGCCCCTTGGCCTAAAAGAGGCTCGGCCCCCTGATTTGAAGAGTCCCTGGCTCCTGGCCTACCCCAGCTGTCATGCTTTTGAGCATGCAGGTGTAGCCTCAGGAAAGGACAGCCATAGAGGCCACGGTTGTGGGGGGCAGAGGTACTGGGGCTTCCACAGTAACTGCAGCTCAACCAGAGCAGGTTTCCACGGAGGTTTACAGGTAGAAGCTTGCCTGCTGAACACAGCACAGCATTAGAGGAGGCAGATCACATCACATCATGCCACCTCACACCTTTTCTGGTCCTGTGAGGAATCCAAGGCGGCATACCTCGTTCACCTTATCTCCATTTTTATCTTAACAACAACAACACCGTGTGAGTTGAGTCAGGCTAGGCTGAGGGTGAGTGACTGGGCCAGAGTCACCCAGTGAGCCTTATTGCTGAGCGGGGGTGAGGATCCAGATCTCTCTGGGGGCAGCCATGCTGCCCAGTTGCCCTGCCACAGTGGCATGGGGCCTCTTCCTGTGACCAGGCTGAGGAGTAGAGGATGGGGCCTCTGTGGCCCTCTGGGCGTTACTGGACCCCAGTTCTCTCTTCCTCATCCAGCCTGGCCTGCGTCATGGAGGAAGTTAGTTGTTGTACAACAGCTAGAAGGCCAGCATGTCCCTACAGTTATTTGCTGTATGTTTGTCCCCTCAACATTATTTCTCAGTCTTTTGGAACTAAAAGAGTGACAGCATGTCCCGTGAAAGGTGAGAAAAATAGCTGTTTCCCTAAAGTAAGTTAAAATGGGAGGGGCAGAAAAGCTAGGAAGCTCTGTCTGTTTGCATTGCTTAGTATTTGAGGGGTACTTTAAATTATCCCCTGGCTGGTGATAGACCTGGATAGACCTTTAACCTTATCTACGGGACAGGTGCAAATTCTTAACTGCAGCTTTAAAATTTTCGTGTTCTGTTGCACTTCACCTGTTCTTTAGAAGGTAATACACTAATTATTAAGGGGAAAATCACAGAGTGCCTTTTAAGTGCCACAGATTAAGGAGGAAAAGAGTATGATTTATCTGTTTGAATGGGCAGGGATCAATAAAGGCACAATCCCGTGCAGGTTTATACAGCAAAAAAGTCTTACAACCCCCAGTGTTCTCCAGCCAGCCATGTCAGCAGGCAACACTGGGGATTGTAGACTTTCCTTCTGTCTAAATAGGTGCAGGATTGTACCCCGAGTCATTCCCAGTGTCAGTCCAATCTGGGAACAGTGGCATAAATCTGGCACCACAAATATTGCTTACACAGAATAAAAGCATGCATAGCAGTTTGCCATTTGCATTGCATGTTTGGATGCACCTTTGCCATGACCCTTTCTCTGAGAATCCTGTCCAGACTATAATTTAGACACAGTCATATGCAGGTTATTTAAAAATCTGAAAAATGATTGCTGTTCTTTCCCTTAAGGAGAATATGCATCCATGTTACATTTTGGAATGCATTAAACAGACCACTAGCTTCAGGATTTTAATTAGTGATTGTAACTTCTAGGATAGATTCATGTAGTCATTATCAATATTATTAAGCCAGCACTTGTGTGTTTTTGGTCTAACAAGTGAAGTAGATACTTTTATACACATTTGAATTCAAAGTTACATTCAATTCTTAGGCACTAGTTTATTGGCGTGTTACAGCCAGGAGACTACAGTCCTCCAGGAGAATTTAAAATTGGACAGTGAGGTGTGGCTGGTTCTTTTGTGGCTCATAAGAAGGAATGGCCATGAAAAGGAGTATCCTCCTACCCAGAAATCTAGGATACAATTTTCCACTAATCACTGTTGCATCTTTAGTAGACTCACACCAGTTTCTTCATAACTACACACAACGAAGAAAGTAATTAAATTTACAAGTTTACAATGAGTCTTGAGCATTTGTCATCCACATCTGGTCAGTTTATTTAGGATGAAGACTCGTCTGAGCTTGATAAAGAAAACAAAATTGTGCCTTCTTGCATTAACTGTTGAAAAGTATAAATGTTCAGTTTCGTTGCCAAAACAGTGTGCTGCCTTCAGTATCATAGGCACAGATTATCAAAAATACTTGAATTGCACTTGCTGCATTTTCACTTTCCTCAGCAGTAATGCTTAAAATAGTAAGCGTGTTCTATGGACAAGAGATGGAGATGTAATTGTGGAAGAGCTGTAGTTCTGCAGCAGAACACTTGTTTTGCATGCATGAGAAAGAGGACTGGAAAAGAGGCTTCTCCGAAATCCCAGAGAGAAACCAGCCTCATTGGTCACTGATAAGAACACAGTGCTAGGTGATCTGACTTTGTATATGGAAGCTTTCTGTGTTCCTCTCTCTTGAAAAGAGCAGTGATAATCTACTGTTTCTTTTGCTGTTTTTTTTATTCTTTAACCCACAGTAACCCATGACTGCTTAGGCCTCTAAGTTTCACTTCACTAACAATTTTAAATATATTTACTAAATGTTGCATGTCCTCAAGAAAGCAAACACTTGTTCTAATCCAGGGTATAACTGCACAGTATCATACCCTATTCGCTTCAAGAGCAGTGCCTCCACTTCTTTGCCCAAGTGGTGTAGTTTTTCCATGGGAGTGGTTGAGAAAACGTTTGTGGGGCATGAGAGCTTATACTCGTGCATATACATA